ACACAAGACCTGCTTTATACCAATTGCTGCTTTGGTAAACACCGAAGGAGAGGAAGCAAGGGACCAAAACAGTGGACTAGAAGCAGCCGACAGAAGCCACTGTCACAGAGAGGATCAGAAGTGATGAGTATTCACTTTCCAATCACTGTTCTAAGAGAGAGCAATGGGAATTTACAGGGAAGCACCCAAAGTGAAAGAGAGGGAAGAGGGGTGACAAGATGAGAGGTATGTAAGGAAGGCATGTGAGGAAGGTACAGAGGAAGGACACTTCCACGCAGACATGCCATCCAGCCACAGACCGCCAGACGACATGGGAGCTGTCTGCAGGCACTATGGTGCATTGCTCTTGAGAAGGCATAGCAGGATCCCATTGGCTTCCAAACCCCGTTGCTGCAGCTGGCACTGAATCTACTTGGGGGTGATCTCAGGTGCTGCTGCCCCCTATGGTTCCTGCTGGGCTGAGAAAGGGAAGGCCAGGAGCACTCACCCCATAAAGCTAGTGCCATGAGCCCCACTGCCACCAGAGGAACCAGGCAAAGCAAGAGCCCATGACTCTGGTGCCCACTGCTGCCACCTAGGTAACCCACCCAGCCACTACTGCCCAGGCAAAACATGTGCCCACAGCCCCCTACAACCACTGCCACCATGTAGGTAGTGCAGCTGCTGCCACCGCTGCCTGGGTAGCGCCACCACTGAGGGACTTGGGCAGGGTGAACACCTAGCCACGTGTACCACCTGGGTTGTGATCTGCCACATGCTATTGCTGGATTTGGGTGAAGTGAACACCACAGACCTGGCACCCGCTACACTGCCCAGGTAGCCCCAGCCAACTAGCCCCAGCCAGCCACCATTACAGCTACTGCCAGGGGACCCGAGCAGAGTAAACCATGGCTACTCACTTCCTCAGAGAGAAATTCACCCTGCCCCCGACTCAGGTTTTGAGCAGAGGTCTGTGGACCAGGTCACTCCTTCACCAAAATATTCTCCAGCACCTACTTGGACTGTGACAGCCACAGAAGACCAAGGAAATGCAAGAAAACAGCAGTGTTACGGGTCCCTGGTGCATCTAACCCGTCCTGGATGGTCCATTTTCTAGAGCAGGACTCCAGCGCACTGTCCAGGCATCTCTCCCTCTTTTCTGAGCAGCAGAGTTCCCAGCTGAGGAGAGCAAGTTTTCTGCAAAGCTATCTACTTTTAGCTGAGAGAGGAGGTTCCAGATGAGAAGTCACCAGCATTAGAACTGCAGAAACTCTGGAAAAAACAGGTTGTTTTGACACCTCCAAAGGCTGACACTAGCTCTCCAGCAGTAGGTTCCAACCTAAAGGAAATTGTTGAAAGTTCAGATGTGGACTTTAGAATACGGATTGCAAGGAAGATCAATGGGATGGATGAGAAAGTTGAAAACCAACACAAAGAAACAACAACAAAACAGGACATAAATGAAAAATTCACTAAAGAGATATATAATCTAAGAAAAAAATAGAACTTCTGGAAATGAAAGAGTCATTTAAGGAATTTCAAAATACAGTGGACATTTTTGACAGCAGATTAGACCAAGCAGAAGAAGAAATTTCAGAACTTGAAATGTCCCTCATCTTCCACAGACAGAAAAACTCTGCAGCTGCATCGGCCTAAACTCGGCTTGAGGGTGAGGCACAGAGTCCAGTGTCAAACTTTCAAAATGGCATATCTGTAACTGGAAAGAATGGGGCCTCACCCAGGTAAGCAGTGTGGGGGAGAAACTATGGAAAATGTTGTCCCCTCACATCTCAGTCTCAACAGCAGCCTGCAACAGGGAGGTAGGGGCCTTCCCAGGGCTGCATGGGAGTATCAGGGCTCCCCTATCCCTCCTCAGAGCTGGGCAGTGGCTTGGACCATGCCTATAGAAGCTCCCTGGTGTCTAAGCTCTCAGACTGGTGCAGGCTCAAGCTGCTCTAGGCTCAGATGCCTGTGAGATTCTATGTGGGTTTCCTTTCTGGAGCAATATCATGGTGTGATCTCCAAGAAACTCCCTATGTGAGGTTGGTCTGAGACCTGCATGGGTCAAGGGTGCTCTCAAGCCAAGATCCTAAAAGCTTATCTTGTATTGTTTATAATAAGAAATATGCTGCCATTTTTATCTTTTATGTGCTTGTGGTTATATGTGTGTGAGTCTTACTCTGGCTGCTTTAAGCCTATGATTTCAAGAAATTTAATTTTTATGTGCCATGATGCTTTCTTCTTCTGTATGTGAGAGAGAGTGTAAGTGTGTTTGAGTTCACTGGGCTTTAGGAACTTGGAATCTATAATGATCAAATTTAGGGATCCGATTTCCTCAAATATTTATTCTGTTCCCCTTTCTCAGGGACCCCAGTTACCTATGAATTAGGTCTTCTAGTATTTTCCCATGTCTCGTGTGTGTGTGTGTGTTTGGTTTTGGATAGTTTCCATTTCTACACATTCAAGTTCACTATTCATTTTTTATGTCACATTTAATCTGCTATTAACCCTATTGTAATATTGTGAAATATACATTTGATTTTTGTTTCCATTTCCCAGCATGCAACTCCTAAAATCCATAAGCATTTATCTCCAAAATGATAAGTGTCTTTTTTTTTTACTAATGAGTTGAATAATGGTATGTAGCCCTAGGTAGCTGTAGAATGGGAGGTGGTCACTGCAAAGACCAAGATATTACCACAGGGGTAGGACTTTTAGCTCCATCCCCCAAACTCTGGATAGTGAAGAGGGGCTGAAGGTTAAGCTGATCACCAGTGGCCAATGATTTAATCAATCAAACAAGCCTCGTACAAGGAGGCTTCTGTAAAAACACAAAAGGACTGGGTTTAGAGAACTTCCAGACAGCTGAACACTTGCGGGTGCCTGGAGGATGTCACACCAGGGGAAGGCATGGAAACTCCTCATAACCCCAATACTTCACTGTATCCATTGCTAACTTTGTATATTTTATAATACCCTTTATAATAAACCAGTAAATATAAGTAAATGTTTCCCTGAGTTTTGTAAGCTGCTCTAGCAAATTTCTTAAACATTAAGAGGAGGTCATGGTATAGCCGGAATTTCTCTCTATGAAGTCCTTGACCGCCAAGATTTGAGGACTGAATCCACAGACCATGAGATTCAGGCCATATTTTATTGAAAGATAAAAGAGATAGATAAGCAAAAGAGGGGAATAGAAACTCCAGCAGCAGAGGGGGGAACCCAAGTGGGAAGCCCATGTGGGCTTTCTGTTTAGGGGTTTACATACTGCTTCTTGTATCCTGCAGGCAGGGAGTTTTCAGGAGATGGAATGTATGTGTAGAACATGTCACAGCTGGCCAGGGGCCTATGGGCAGAAATTAATTTTAAAACTGCCATAGTTCATGGGAATATGGTCCTGCCTGAAGCACACTTCTCTGGCTCTGGGAGAAACAGTAGAGTATATTCTGAGAGATGTGACCCAAATGAGATCCTGGTCAGAATGCTTTTTATAATTGTGTTTGTCCAGAGAATGTGGCCTCTAAAGGGCATGTCTTTCCCTAAAGATGGTGTCTGGACCTGAACTGCCATAGGTCCCTGTCCAGCCACGAACCGGGTAAGCTTATATCAATGAGAACATTGATTGATAGCCAGTTGGTCAAAGTACAGGTAAAGCAACCTGAGTTGGGGAGCAGTTCTGTGGGCCTGAGTCCTTAACCTGTAATCTGATGCTATACCCAGGTAGAAGGTATCAGAATGGAATTGGAGAACAACTTGCTTGTGTCCACTGGAGGACTAATTGCTTACATAGTGTGTAGAAAAATTCCATCTAATCTGGGGTTAGAAGCATTCTGTATTGATTGTTGAGTGAGAATATAGAAAAGGCACTTGAGTTTGTTTTTTTCCTACATCCTCAGACCTATGCAATGTAATTTTCAATTTACACATTGTAGTTTTCATCTCTAGAAGTGCAGGGTGATTCTTTCTTGTAAATTTATCTCTAAAGTGAACTTTTTGATGTCTGAAATAGTTATAAGTTCTGTTTTACTGTTTTTGTGAATTCTAACATCTATATACATTTTGCAACAATTTTAATTTCTTAATTTTCTCTTTATTATGTTTCTTTGCATGGCTGGTAATTTTTGTCTGACTGTCAAAATGACTTGTCGAGCTTTGTTCTGGAATGAAGTTAAGACATTTACAAACAACTTAAGCCTCTTGGATATTGCTTTTAATATTTGTTCATCAAAACTGGCTTAGTTTTTGGTCAACTGCTAATTATTTCCAGTTATTGAGATTCTTCTGAGTAGCCTGAGCCAATGTCCCAATGTCTGAATACCCAATGACTACTGAATTTACAAAGTTTTCCAAAAAGAAGCATACACTATTCCTATCCCTATTTCACTACTGGGTACTGTTTGCTCTAATTATTTAATTTTAGTATGACTGTTTTATTGGAGGCATACAACTGCTAAAATCCCTAAGGAAGGAAGAAGACAGGTCTTTCTTTTTTCTGGAGACATACTTAGAATTCCCAAGAGTATAGAATGACCATTTCCTCTGTTAATACCTTAGGCAAAGCAATAAAATTGTCCTTTCTTCCTCCAATAAAATAAATATCTCAATATGCTTTCATAGCATTCTGGTTCCCTTAGGTCTCCATCATGTTGACATCATCACATTTGTTGGAATTGGATTGTGATTGATTCTTTTATTTCCTAAAATTGCCTTTGCATTTACAGCTTAGCTCATTATCAAATTCGAATTTGTTTTCTCCTTCACCATTTGAAAATAACACTTTTTTGTAATTTTTACTCAGGGTTGCTGTTTTGCTGTTGCAAAATGTGAAGTTTACTTCATTTTTATTCCCTTAAACATTGCTTTAGTAGTGCTACTCAAAGAGTAGTCCAAAGACCCATACATAAATTGCTTCTTACCAGTTCTTTATTAAACAGGAACAGAAATAGAGTATTATAAAACTTTTAGAGCACATTGACAAAACAACTTTATTTATGTTGAATCTAATAATAAAATAAGTGGCATTTGTAATTGCATACCTTGTAATTTTCCAGTAATTTATTTTAGAAAATTACCAGTCTGTAATATATTGTATATACACCGAGTAACAACATTTATAACAATAACCAATAAACAAAACAAAAACCTGATTCCCCTCTACAGATTCTTTGAAAAACACTGGTGTAATCCGAAACTCTGGCTAAGAAGACTCACAGCATCTCAGGCTAAGCAATCTCCTAATGAGTAATGCTTGAGATCCCCAGTCAAGGACTGAAGTCCTGGCGTTTACAGAAAACAGGCTGCTAAGGCCTTCCTCCAAGTCACTTAATATTGCTCAGATGAGAGAGTTCTATGGCTTTATGTTTAAAGTAAGGGTTGACTGATCCAGAGAAGCTAGGTTGGGTGAAGGAGAAGATATGGGCACCGCTAGCCACGTCATAGAAAGAAAGGTTGCTGTCCTCATAATCCAAGAAAATCACAATCTTCTGTGGATGCTCTTTTATTAAGAGAGACTCTTCCAGGGCAATGTTTTGGGAACAATAGGCGAGAGCCCTATATTCACAGCCCCTCTTCACTAAGACTCTGAATTTCTTTGATGCTTCTTTGGATAATCCGTTCTCCTCTTCGTGCTCCTCATAAATGCCCAGAGTCCATTCGTCAGTGTCCATTTTGTCCACCTCCCAATAATATTGCCCTGATTTGAAGTCTTTCTTTTCAAGTGTGATAAGGTTGCCATCTCCTTGTATTTCCTCATTGCAATTCTCTTTCCTCTTTGGATCAGAATTGTTTTGGTCAAATATTTCATGATTTAGAGACACAAGAGCTAGAAAGGAAAAAAGGGGGTCACCATTGTATATTTCAGAGAGCTATTATATAGGTGAAGACTTAAAGATAGGGAAATGTGGAGCTGGTAGTAAAATATCTCTCCTCTTGGTGGGTAGGGGGCTTACTGTGGAGTCTATGCTACTGGTCTCATTGGATCTTGTCTACACCATTATCAGTGTCTCAGCAGAGTGCCTGCGTGAACCAGGACTTGCAGCTTTTACATGAGAATACTGTTCTTTCCAGTTCTCAGTAAATCAGATCTATGTTCTTCAATTAGTATCAGGTCTGACCCCTTTAAGAAGAGCAGTGGGGTACTCTTGGCATTGCGGGCACTTTTTACTTAGTCAGGAGTCTCCTCAGCTGAAGAGGTATGTCAATTTCTGTTTTCAGAACCAGGTGGACCTCACAGGCAAGAAAGCTGTGTCAGTATGTGAAGGTAGGAACAACCAGAGTAATCAATCCTAGCAGGAATTTTCAGCTCAGGCTGACATTAAATGATCTGCAAGTTCCTCCTTCCCTTCTCTAGAATGATGGTGCCTCTGTCTTTTCAACTAGGGGTGGTATTAGAAAGGGAAAACAAATATCAGATGACAGGTTGGAAGGGAGCCAAAAGACAGACAAAAACACTCACCAGGCTTAAAATATTCCTTCCTCCAGTCTGCAAAAGAGCAATATAAATTGAGGCTGGGATGGAAACATAGCCGGGGAATGGAAAGGAAAAGACACTTCCTTCTCTGGCTCATTACTTTCTCCTCCCAACTCTCCTCACACTCTGAGTAATATCCAGAAGCCACAGGACGAGTGACATGCTTTCTGTGCTCTGTCTCAGTTTAGGAACTATGTCCTCATTCAGTCTGATACTGGAGAAAGCTTCCCCAGGCTGAGCCAGGTTCGCAACACACCTGAAACAGGTGCCTGGTGTTCAAGGTGCCCCTGCACTGTGCTCTTGAGACCTGTGTGGCCCTCCTCTGAGGATGAAAGCTACAAAGGCTTTTTATTCTGTTTTATTGTGGGTTTCTTTCCAGGCTATGACCTCCTCAGAGCAGGGCTTAAGCGTATGTCTGAGGCCTTTAGTTCCCTGTTGTTTTGGGCCTCTATTACCAGATGGTTTATATTTTTTTCCAGAGTGAGATTCCTCATGGGAAGTAGAACTGCATTTTCTTCTTTCTGGGACCATTTCTCTCATAATGGGACTGGTGGTTTTATTTAAAGAGTGTGTAATCTCATGCAGTCTGGGGACAATACACAGATAAGGACTTATCCTTAATTCTTGACAGGAGCTGCACTGGCCCCTCATTGAATGGACCTCAGTAAGAAATTTAGCACCCTGACATGTACAGCCTGTGATGTGAGTACTTGAGTCAAGAAGGACATGCATCCTATCTTCATCTCAGAGGCAAGAGGACTGAGGTCAAAAAAGAGAAAGTGACCCAATCCCTCAGCAATATTGGTAGAGTTGAAATTGAAACTCTTGTGTCCTAATCATTCATATTACAGGAGCACATTTAAGCAGTGGGTGAAAGAAAACTCTCAATAGAAACAAGTTAACTAGCTTCACTCCTCCGACCTCGCTGGTCAGAGCCTTCTCAGGAACATGCTGTGGCCTGCCTCCCTGCTTCCTTCCCCAGAGGACTTTAAGTTCCACAGGGTCAGTGATGATAGCTGATAATACCAACACCTCACACAGTGTCTGCCATATGAAAACTGCCCAGTTATATGCTCGAGGATTGGCCTAGCTTAGCATGTTTCTAAAGTCCAACTTTATATCAAACATGCACACACATTTCTAAACCCACGTAATACACAGACACAGACATCAGAAGGATATTAAAAATAGTCAATTTTCTCTACTACCCAATAAAAATGTATATTTTTACAAATGATATTAAAATATTTTCAGATTGCTTTTCAAATATTTAAAATCAATATTCTTATATATTAAACTTTATTTTAAATCAGTAAAATAAAATAAGTAAAATCATAGTTAGTGTGTTTTTTCCAAATATGAAGTGTATTATCTGCTCTTTTAAACTTTGTTATATGGAAATGCTGACATAACAAACTATTCTTTACTCTGAAATCTCATAAAAATCACTGAGTTCTGTCCCTTCCTTCTCCAAAATAGCCGGTCTAACAGTTCATATTGAGTCTTTTCCCCAGCCATGTTGTAAAATTTACCAAATTAGAAGTTATTTCTCCTTTATCCTTAGCTCTGGAAAACAATTGATTATTTGAACCTTCAAATACAAAATGGCACACATTGATACCAAATCAATGGCTACAACTTCCAAGTGGACAAGTATGTGTGTGTAGGTCTATACTTAGGTTCATAATACCAGAAGCACTTGGAAAGATTAAAACCAGAGAGTTGGGTTAATAGGGGGACCACACCTATGGAGCATATTGCAAGTACAAGTTGGATCTATCAGGTGTAGAACACAAATGTCTTAACGCTGTAATTGGGTAAATGAGGTGAAGGCTATGTTAATTAGTAGGATGTAAGCACTCCAATTTGTACAAATAATCAACACATTGAATCCCACAATGGCATAAATGTATTCATGATCTATGTATAAATGACTTAATTAAAAAAATAAATAAAACTAAAAAGAAGATAATTAAAAAAAAAATAAAACCAGAGAGTTACTTACCAGGATATATCAGGGCCTTCTTCCAATCTAAAACAGAACAAATCCAGGTAAGATAAAGTAAGACATTACCCTGTGGGCTTATATTTCTTTCCTTTTCTCTTAGTTTTCTTCCAAAGTCATTATGAAATCTTTAGTCTTTCCCTCTAGGGAATGGAACTGAGAACATGTTGGGTGTCAGGACATCATATAGTGTAGAAACACGGAGACTCTTACCTTCGTGGTACAATTTCTTTCGCCGTTCTGAAAGCAACAACATTTAGTGAGAGACCCAAACAGGTTATGAAAGGGGCAAACAAATCCCTGGGCACAAAAAGAAGCAAGACTCACCAAGCTCTGCCTCGAGTTTCTCTGAAAGAGGAGGAGATACAAAACCCATCAAATTGGGTTTTAGCTGACCTTGAGTTTAGGGAGTAGCTAAATGAATTAAGCTTGGCCTTCCCTTAAGGGTCCCATAGTTCAGTAAATAAGAAGATGAGCAAATATTTATATCCAATAAAAACTGGCAAGTGCTAAGAAAAGTTAAATGGGAAGGGCCAACAGGTCACAGAGGAAGAAATGCCCACATTTCATGGGAGTTTAAGATTTCTTAGGTGTTTCTGAAGCTTATTCTTGAAGCATAAGTAGGAAGAGAATTCAGTGGAAGACATTTCACAAGGAGAAACCACAGTTGGGAAAAAGAGGCATGAAAGAGCAAGGTGTGGATTGGGGCCCGGCACTTTATAGGCCTCACGACCGCTGCCCTCTGGTCTTCTCCCTTCCCACTTGGTTTTCTCCTCTCACAGGATGCTCAGCTCTCTGGAGTGCTTGATATCGTGTTTCCCTTGCTGTCCTTTGGCAACCTGTGAGTTCTTCACCTACCTTACACAGCCTGTCCATGAACCTCTGATTTGCCCTGCTCCCCCAGCTTACCTTGGTCCTTAAGCACACTTTCTTTTTCACTCCTCATCTGGTCTGTTTCCTGAGATTCTTTTTTCTTTTCCTTTATTGCTCTCTTTTTGGCTTGATGTTGTTTCCAGCCAACATAGCTGAGCCCAGAAAGGAGGATCCCTATCACAGGGAGAGTCCCAGCCAGGGCCACTTTCCACGGAGACACCCTGGGGAAGAAGGGCTCTGGGAAGGCAGATGGAGACACAGTCAGAGGTGGAGCAGGAGGAAGTCCTGCCCTTGGTCCAAGGCTCCCATCAGCCCTCCTTCTCCATCCCTGTCCTTACCACACCCTCTGGACTTGTGTGGCTCTCTGACCTGGGAGGAAGATAGCTGATGCTTTCTCCTGGCCAGAGAGGAGATTCTGGATGGAGCAGGTCACATTGCCCACAGAGCTGTCCTTGACTACAAGAGATGCCACCACACGAAACAGCCCATCCCCATCTTGGCTCTGAGACTCAGGCAGGGAAGGCAGCTTCACTCCTGCTGTGTCTCTCCACTGCACCTTGGGACTGGGGAACCAGCCACCTGAGGAGCACAGCACTCTGATCCCACCTTCCTCAGGGCCCATCATGTAAATGTGAGGGACAGAGCCCAAGCCTAAGGAGAGAAAGACATGTGTCTGAGATCAGAGGTCCTTGGGGCTCAGAGACCCTTAAGGCTGAAGGCCAAACTGCTATTCACTTAGAAGAGTACACAGGAGCTCAGAGGTTAGTGGCAAGCTGAGTTCTGGCTCAGTTTTGAAATCAACGTACTACCTTTACAAGTTCTGCCACAGAGAGAACTTTGGGCTCATTCTAGGAAGAGAAAATAGCAGGGACAATTAAAACTAGGAGAAAAATGTAATTCCGTTAGTTTTCCTTTCTGATTGGGTTTTTACCCAACGAGAATGTCTGATTGATGTTTGAGAGTGTTAGTGTTCATCAGAATGAATAATGCTACTGAGTTTTCTCAGGTCCTTTAGGATGTCAAAACATCTTCAGGAATTTTAATTCCTTGGTATTTAAAGCAAAATGAGTGTGTAGTCTTATCCTCATGGCACAGTTTGGGACACTGACATTCTGCCACAGACAGAGCACATGGACACAGGGGAGCCCACCAGCGGGCAGATTAGGAGCCCGGCGGCACTTGCCCTCTCGGCTTCACATCACAACCTGGGCTATGGGCCAAGTAACACACCTATAACATGCAGCTCCACAGTGGCCTCCTGGAACACGTCACCATCTTCAACCCGACACCGGTATTGGCCATGGTCAGAGGTCCGCGCACGTCGTATCTGCAGGGTGGCATCCCCTCTGCCGAGGGAGGCTCCCAGCAGCTCCGCCCGGCCCCGGTACTCCAGCATTTGCTCCCCGCCTAGGTCCTGCCGGTCCTGGAACACCAGCACCGCTGGGGAGAGCTGCGCTCGGTACCACCGGATGTGCATGTGGGCCGTGCTCTGCGCGGGGTACAGCTGGCAGGGCAGGATGGCGTCTTCCCCGAGCAGCACCACGACGGGCTCAGCGGATGCCTTCACAGAAAACCCGAACCCTGTGAGAATCGGATTGGGAAAACGAGTGAGGGACAATTTAGATGGAAAACTCATTTGCACTTTCTTATTTAGGGACTCAAATGTATGTTTTATTAGTATTTGGTTCTCAAAAGGTAATTATGTATCTTTAATTTTTTTATGTAAGTATATATATGTGTGCGTATTTGTATATACAAATGTATAAAATCTAATGTTTTCAGCCATATTCCCCACACCCCTACTAACAGATGACATTCATGTCCTCACAAGCAGTAACTTTACAGTCTGCCATTTAAAAAGACATACACGTTCTATAGATTTCCAAATAGTATTTATGTGTAAGTTGTCTAAAATCTATGTAAAAAAGACTAATTGAGAATTAAATGTGGTGAAGCAACTTAATAAGCAATTATCTTTTGGGGGCGGGGAAAAGCACTTCTCTTTTTCAGTGTCTTCTCTCACAGAAATGGAAACACTGAACTTGACCTTGAGATTTAGGTTACTGTGTGTTTGGTGATGGATTAGGGGCATAGAAGTGTTTTACCCCAGGATGAAAAGAATAATTATAAGGTGAAATATAGATCTTTTTGTTTGTTTTTAAATAAGTGTGAAGGTTTGGAATTAATTTTTTTTTCATAAAATTAATGCAGGACTTGGCCTGTGGCTCCATATATCAAGAGTCAGGGAAGCCCCTACCAGAGAGGGTAATTGGATTTCCCAGGAGGGAAAGAGAATGCTGCAGACTGCAATGGGGACTTTGTCTGAATTAGAAAATACGCTCCCTCATCAAGGCACTTAACCATCCCTTCAAAATCATTTTACCATAGAAATCTATGAAGACTAAAAGGTGACAGGTACCCCTGGGCAAAAGTGTAATTAGGAGAGATTCAGTACACTGTGGATGTTGTGAATGGTTAGGACTTAAGGACCCTTAACTAAAATGACTCTTGAGTGGGAAGAGTGCAGACAGGGATGGCTGTGTTGGTGCCCAGGAAGACTGAGTACAAAGGGCAAGGGCATATGAGCTGAAGGGACGTAGCCTTGGCCTGCCTGTCCCAGAGAGTGTGGGTCAGGCCATCCTGGGCAAAGAGCATGACTTTGGCCATCTGCTAGACTGGGATCATGGTCACCTCAGTTTTTTCATTCTTATGTAAAACCCTTGGTGTCCCCTGGCTACTGTTGTAACTCAAGGGATACATGCCCTTGGCTACCTAATACTGAGCTGCTGGCCATACATGTTATGGAGCAATTTATTTTAAAAAGGCATTTGACATTAAACATAGCCACAATGTGGTGGGAAAAAATCATTGTTTTACATAAATGGGATCACTATATATCAAATTCTGCACCAGTAGACATCTAACCATTTTGGTATATACAGTTGAGCTATTCCTAATTGTTTTTAGCACTGCCTACACTGTCATGTTCAAGATTTTACTATATTGGTGAATATTAACATTGCTTCCAACTTATTATTACTACAGACAGTCCTGTGGTAAACATTATGTATATCTGTATATGTGTGTTTGCAAATGGAAGAACACTTCTTTTTCTTTTTTCTTTTTTTTTTTTTTTTTTGAGACAGTTTCACTTGGTCACCCTTGGTAGAGTGCCATGGTATCTTAGCTCATAGCACCCTTAAACTCCTGGGTTCAAGGGATCCTCTTGCCTCAGCCTCCCAAGTAGCTGGAACTCCAGGCACCAGCCATAACAGGTCTCTCTCTGGCTCAGGCTGGTCTTGAACCTGTGAGCTCAGGCAATCCACCCACCTTGGCCTCCCAAGTGCTGAAATTACAGGCATGAGCCACCATGCCCCACCAGCAGAGCATTTCTGTAAGATAAATTTTTATAGAATTGCTGAGTGGACATGTATGGACATTAAAAATTTTGATACTCATCACCCAGTTCACACCAAATCAAGGAGCTAACACAAAAATGTCATTCTTGTAATCCATTCATTTTCTTTCCAACCATGAAGTTTGAAAACTTCATCCAGGGGACTCTTTTCTTTTATAAAAGAGATAACTCATGTCCCAGAGAGAATAAGTGATTTATCTAAAATCACAACTAAATAGAGCTCAGGAATCCTGAGCGCAAACTCTGTGTACACACTTAGGTTTTCTTGGCAGTATCAACATTACCAAGCATATTTTAATAGTTATATCAAAAGTAAATAGGCTAAATCACCTACACTCAATAAGGTTTAGATAAATGGTACAGCTGGGACTTTATAAGGGGAAAGGGGACCCTCGTGACGGATTGCAGAGTGTTTCCATTTCTATGAGAGAAAACACTGAAAAAGAGCCAGTAGATAAAAAGCATGAGGCAGACACTGACCTGCTGAGCACAGAGTGGGCACCTGGAGAAGAAGAAAAGGGAGGAGGAAGCTGGCTGGAGAGAAACCTGGAAAACCCTCCATCTTCTTCAGTGCAGGTGGGAATGTTCACTCCAACAATAGGGTGCTCTGCAGGACTGGGTGGTGAGAAAGCAGCAGGATGGAGGTTCTTAGGAAAAAATCCCCTGTTCAGAGATTGAATTATATGCACAGGGTTTTGGTTGTCTGTTCCTACCAGACCTTAAGATCAACACCATCAACTCTCATCCCCTCCCCACTGGGTTTTCCCTCCTTCTCTTTCTTCTGAAAATCAACTGTTTCCCACCAGGTGTAGAAAGCTGTAAAGGGTTCCATCTCACTCTGCTTAGCAGTCTTTCTCACTTATCTCAGTATTTACCTTCTCACCAGGGATATTTTTGAAATTGAGAACCCTGAGTTCAATGCTCAGAGATAAAGTCAGATATAGATGTAGTCCACTCCCCTCAGCCAATCTGCCTTCAGTCTTCTTACACTCATTTATTTATTTACCACAAATAGCTTGTAAGGGCCAGACCAGCGCCATTTTGTTGTCTACTGCATAAGCTCTGTTAAAACCGCAGGGCCACTCCCTACTGCCTCCCCCACACCTGCTTGCATAGCCACTGATTGAGAC